TAACTTTTAGATAGAAACCTTATCCATTAGCAATCACTTTCAGTTTTCTCCCAACCCTTCCAGCTTACATGGTGCCTTTTGGTGCCTCTGTCACTAGAGGTGGGAAGGTACTGCCCACACAGGCCAGGGCTGGGCATGGCTGCCGTGAGGGTATGAGAATGCTAGCAGGGACATTGGCAGCAGGATCCTCTCATAATTTTAGTGTGTGAATCCGATACTACCTGAGTGGGACCTAGGAAATTAGCTTCGATGGAACTTTTATATCAGTGTTCCAGCACTTGGTTCTCTTGAAACTCGGGTTTTCTCACATTCATAATGGCAGGAGGCACAAATATGTCTTTTATATTTCTTAGAGAGCACCCTTAACTTGAGGTTTTCTTTGTGATGAATTCATACTGTATCAGACAGCTCTTAATAGAATCCTGTGAAGGGCCACTTAACATTCTTTATACATCTATTACAAGTCACTTGTTTTATTCCTAGGGTGTACAGCCTCACTTCTATATTTACATCTTAGATCATATTTTAGCTTTGATTACAACAATCTTTGCGAAGTACCGTAACAAGGATTCAAAGAATGCATGGCATCAAGGTTAATTTCTCTGGGCAGTCCAATGTGTCAGTTTAGTCTGACGCTGTGAATAATTAATATCTAAGGAAATCCTAACCTCATTCATGATTTTCCAAGGTCAGAGGTGGAAATTTTTCAAATTTTCAAGCCAGGGTCGTATGTATCCCCAGGCTGGCCTCAAACTTACCTTGTAGACAATGATGATCTTGAACTTTAGATTTCCCCTGCCTCTACCTCCAAAGGAGGTACAGATGTACATCACCATACCTGGTTTCAAGATTAGAATTTCTTAAATGAAAGAAGGCCAAATTTAATTAAAAGAAAACTTGTAGCATAGTTACTCAGAAATTTTGTGTAGCCATTAATGGTTCATTTGGCTTTAGAAATTATATATACCACCATGCCTTCTAATAAAGAGTTATATATACCACCATGCCCTTTAATAAAGAGCCATGGAAGCATAAATTAAAAAAAAATTGTAGTGGGGTGGTGGTGGCATATGCCTTTAATCCCAGCATTTAGGAAGCAGAGGCAGATCTCTCTAAGTTTGAGGCCAGCCTGGTCTACAGAGTGAGTTCCAGGACAGCCAAGACTGTTACACAAAGAAACGCTGTCTTGAAACTGCCCCACCCCCAAATCAGTTGTAGTCTATCTGCAACCTCATCATTTACATTTTAGATCATTTTTATATTAATATAATGTTGTGTGTGCGTGCGTGCGTGCGTGCGTGCGTGCGTGCGTGCGTGCGTGCGTGTGTTATGTCCATCAGGCTAGTTGGCATTGAGTGCCCAAGATCCACATGTCTAACACTTCCAGTGCTGGGGTTATAGGTACACACAGCCATGCCCAGCTTTTTATACAGGAGGTTTAAATCCATGTCCTCCAGCTTTCACAGCAAGTGCTCTTACCGGATGAGCTATTTCTCCAGCCCCGTTTAGACCATTTAGATCCCACTTACTGTTTTGGAGCAGTTTTGCTTGCCTGGTTTATCTTCACTACATCTGTAAATACAGATTGTGAAGACTGGATGCATGTCATGTGTCTCTTAGTACCTTATGTCTGTGCTGCAACTTGGTGTCTTTACATGGGCTGTGTAGGTAAGGCAACAGCCCAAGCTGCAGACTCAGAAAACGATTTTCCAAGTTTGCCCTCAGGTTTCTTTATTTGCTTGGTGTGAAGTGTAAGGCTCATTCATCTCGCCACTTACCTTGTTTTTTGCCTTTTCTCTGATTAAAAATACCCTGACAAAAGCAGCTCCAGGGAAGAATTTCTGAATCCACCTGCTTCCCTCCAAACACTGACTGGATGAATAAGCCGGGCAGGACCTGGCTGTTGTGGTCTCCCAGACACTGGATACTACAAACGGTGCCCAACGTGAGACTACTACAGTCACTCTGGAGATTGATGCTGACCTTTTTGTTTACATTCTTATAGCTACAATTAACGTGAATTCGGCCAATGATGGTTGGTTTGGCAGCTTGAAGGACAGCATTCAGCAGCAGCAAGGCGAAGCAGTCTGGGTCTCTGAAGGAAAGGTATGTGGTCTAGATTTGCTGCTGTGAGGTGAGAGTCTGTGTTCTTGATGCTTCCTCCAGAGGGCAGTGAATGTAGTAAACCATGAACAAATAGGAGTCAGCGTGTTCTTCAAGTTGGAATGTTTCTAATTCTCCAAAAAAGCAATAAAGTGAAGAGACTTTGCAAGGCAGAACATGATGAATGCTGGTCTACATTCACTTCCCCTCTACTTTTAACGTAGCAACTAGAATTGCATTCCAAGTACTCTAATCAGAGCTTACAAGTTCTCCATCCTAATGCCACACCGTACTAAGGACATGGGAAACTTGGAGTGGAGATGAGAGGCAAGGTTGAGAACCATGGGGAAGGAATGCAGTTTAAAATGATACTAAGTGAAGCACTAACAGCTGGAATTATGTGCTTAGTAAAGAGATCGGTGGAGAACGCATCCCAACTCTGAGTTTGAAAGCACTAATGATCTTTTCTAGCCATTTCAAGTTGGATAGCATCCAAATCTGTAGAGATACCTGAATACACAGGTGTGCTGTGGGAAGAGGAGAGTTGAGCACCTGGGATCCCCTTCATTCTAGGAGCGTTTACTCCAGCTAAATTGAGGTAGCTGGTGATCCTTATAGTGACTTTTTGGTGGAATGGACTGTCTTGCTCCCTGGGACCTAGATGTTTAGTTGGCGAATCTAGCATCTGCCAAATGCTTGTAGTCACCACAGCTCCCTGGAGAGGACAAGTTGAATAGGATGTCGCATTTGTCCTCAAGGTTCTGAGAATATTTTTGTCCTAGTCCTGGGGATTTAACCCAGCTACTGCTGAGAAACATCTGAGAGTCTTGGAGATGAGTAGGGACAGGGGTCAGCAGAAAAGCTGCAGAGAAGCTGATCCCGGAAGACCAGCAAAACAGGGAAGCTTGGCTCAGCTGTCCTAGAGGATGCACTGTAGCAAGGATAGATTTCTGTCCTTGCTAGGAGGGTCTTCAGTTTGTGTCCCTGTGCACAATTAACCTAGGGTCAACATCCCAAAGTCAAGTGATAGCGAGAAACTAAAGGTTCCTTCCCTGCTGCTAGCACATGTCAAGGTTTCCAACAGTTGGCTCATCCCTTGGGAGTTTTCTTGAGTCCCCACTCCCAGGAGCCATGCCAGATCCCACTCACCCTTCAAAACAAATTCCTCTAGATGGAAGGGATGGATGATGACCCTGAAGACCGCATGTCCTACTTAACTGCCATGGGCGCGGACTATCTGAGTTGTGACAGCCGTCTCATCAGTGACTTTGAAGATACCGACGGCGAGGGAGGCGCCTACACTGACAATGAGCTGGATGAGCCAGCTGAGGAGTCCCTGGTGTCTTCTATCACCCGCTCCTCAGAGCCGGTGCAGCACGAGGAGGTGAGGCGAGGCACAGCACACTCTGGGCAGCTTGATGCAGGCTGTGAGGCCATGAGCAGGAGCAGTGTTCACTGTGGGTGCTGTAGAGAGTATCTTCAAGGATTGGAGCAGAGGATGGCTAGAAAGGCCCACTGGGAGTCAGCGCCTACATCGTTGTGGCTGTGGTCCCTGGAAAGTGGAGCCAGAACATGGCATTGGAAAAGGTTGAGTGGTACAACTCACCACTCTCTTGTCCTCAGGAGTGGTGCATAAATATTGGCTTTATGTGCCAACTGTCCAAATTATAAGTGGAACTTTATGAATATGTTATTGCTATATTTGCTTGTAACCTTTGATTAGGCCTCTCTCTGTACTCTTAGGAGCCCTGCTTTTCTTCTCCCCTTGACCTTTAACTTCCTAATGTTATTAGAGTTCCTGCGTGTTTCCCCATCAGTTTCCTTCTGTCTGTATTTCACTTTTTAAATGGACTTTATACATCTGCTCGGACACACCGTGTATCCACTAGCTTACACAGTCCTCCAAACTGTATCAATGGGCACTAACTTAGGGTGGAGGGATTATTCATTACACCTCCAAGAACATTGGAATGATCATCTTTGTGGGCAAGATTATCTAAGCACATTTGGGTTATAGTTGTTATGGACTACCCTTTAGTAGGTTAACTCATTCCAGGAAATGATAAATGAGATAGAAATATCCCCAAAATAAATAGCCTAACACACACACACACACACACACGCACGCACGCACGCACGCACGCACGTGCACACACACAGAGTATCAATGTATAGTAGATAAGTAGTAGAGAGTAAATTAATGTCTGCAGATATAGAAAGAGCTAATGCTTAGAAATACTGCTGGTATTGACACAGACCTTTAGATTTTAGGAATATTTTGGTTTGTTTCTTTCTACCTTTAAGGGTAGAGCCTGCTGCCTTGTATTCAGCCAGTTTAGTGTGTTACGTCCTGAGCTTTCTCTAGCAAAGGATGGTTGGTATCTCTGTTTGCAGTAGGAAAGGATTGCCTTGGCTAGTCAGCATCTCTGTTTCCTTAAGTTTTCAGAAATCCAGCAGAGCAGAGGGCTGTCTTCTCTCTGCTTGGATGCTCTTGGTGTGAATGAACCTTTATGTTTTGTAGAGCATAAGGAAACCCAGCCCAGAGCCACGAGCTCACATGAGGAGGGCTGCTAGCAGAGATCAACTTAGGGATGGTAGCCCGCCCCCAGCATTCAAGCCAGAGCCGCCCAAGGTATGTGGCTGGGAAACCCAGAATGGGAAGGAGGAGAACACAGGTGCCTTGGAGCCCATGGGGCAACCATGGGGACATACACAATGAGACAATGTTGGACTTAGCCTGTGCTCAGTGAGAGCTTTTCCTTCAGGCCATTGAGTGAGCCTGAAAATCGGGGATGTGTGAAAGACAAGCATGAAAGCCACCATCAGGAAAAGTGTATGATTATAGGATTCATAGAGAATAAGTTATTTCATATATTATTATTTATTCAGTTATTTATGTATTTATGTATTTCTTTATTTATTTTTGGGTAGAGAAAGTGAAATGTGGTCAAAGGCTGCATGCTACAATCACCAGTCTTCTGGTGTTTTTCTTTTTCTACCCGTTTAAAGTTTTCTGCCCACAATCTAATTTGGATACACCAGAGGATGCTCACTGGTGATCTGCTAAGAAAACAGGCATGGCTGTTGTCTAGAATGCCTCTCACTATAAGAGCATCTTAATGTATTGAATTAAAAAAGCATTATCTAGAACAGAATAACATAAGGGCTCCAGGGTATAAGTCATGTGGTTTGTTGTCCCAGAACACCATCAGCCTATAACGAAAGGCTTTTCCTTATAGCTCAATACAATTTTTTGTAACTCAATCATTTAGATGAGAAGAAAATGGTGATTATGAAAACCATCAGCAGTAATTAGTAACTTTACGGAATTTGACACTGAAGGTCTGTAGTGGGGCTAGAATTGAATGTGAAGGAGAATGGCTGCTGGCATGGTATTCTGCCTACCTACCCCCCCCCCCCTTCCGCTTGACTTCATTGTCCCACAGCCAAGCACAGGCCTCACTCTTTGGCTCAGACTCCTACCCTCCATGCAGCTTGATCTCAGAAAAGCCTACTTTTTCATTTCCAAAATTGATTTCTTCTGAGGTCTTTTGTGAGATTCCAATCTTCTCTAATATGAAATTATGTTGGTCTGTTCTACCTCTAGCTGTTACTGGCTACCCCACATCTGCCAGCACTTCTGCCATCCTCAAGGAGGGCTCAAGATGCCTGACCAGTGGCTGTTGGCTCTGTCATATTTGGTTCTTTGTAAAGATGGTTATATTGCCCACCTTTGGAAACTGATCAGGAAACACAATGCATTAAATCACTAATGTAGTTCTGAAAATGAACTAAAAGCCCAAGGTCATAAGGCATACCATTGCTCTTTGCAGGCCAGAAACCAGAACAGAGAAGAATCCTACGACTCCTCCAAGTCAAACACCTCTGCCATGGCTGCCAGTGGAATCCCGGGGGGGTCTACCAGAGGGTGTCCTCCCCCTATTGCAGTGAAACCTGCTTCCGGCCGATCCATCCTGAAGCCTTCCACTCCTGTCCTTGCGCCTGAGAGCGAGGAGGTGGAGGAGAGCACCGAGGAGCAGGACGGTGCTCCCAGATCAGTCCTGGGCAGAGTGAAAATATTTGAGCAGATGGATCACAAGGCAAAATTACAGAGGATGCAGGAGCTCCAAGAAGCACAGAATGCGAGGGTAATTGTTTTAAACTACCAGAGTATCTTAGCCTTCTCCCCTGAGAGTTTTCAAGATGTGTGCTCTCAATGTAGCAGTGCGTACCCCTTTCCCCACTGCTAGGATCATGCCAGGCAGTCAGTCATATGCACAGTTCTGTGCGCCTCTTCCAGATTGCCTGCCATCAGCATATCCTGTTTGTTTCCAATCAAGGAAGCCTCATAGAGCTGGGTGTGGTGGCCCATGCCTTTAATCCTAGCACTTGGGAGGCAGAGGCAGGCAGATCTCTGTGAGTTTGAGGCCAATGTGAGTGTAATCTACAAAGTGAGTTCTGGGACAGAGCTATACAGAGAAACCCTGTTTTAGAAAACAAAACAAACAAGTAGAAAGAAAGAAGGGAGGGAGGGAGGGAGAGAGGGAAGGAAGAAAGTAGAAAACAAAACAAACAAGTAGAAAGAAAGAAGGGAGGGAGGGAGGGAGGGAGAGAGGGAAGGAAGAAAGGAAAGAGAGAGAGAGAGAGAAAGAAAGGAAGGAAGGAAGGAAGGAAGGAAGGAAGGAAGGAAGGAAGGAAGGAAGGAAGGGAAAAACAGAAGCCCTAACAGTCCAGATGAGCAAACTTCAGTTCTCTGTTCTTCAGAACTGTATGTCCTGGTTTGGGACAGAGAGTGAGCGTCAGTACTCCTCAAAAGTTATTTAATCTGGAACATGGGAGGTGGTTATGTGAGGTCCGCAAGTCTCATACACATTCCCAGATTTGCTATAGGATATTAGCAGCCATTGGGCCTATGGGCTGTAGTTTTTGAGCTGTTTAAAGTTTTGAAATGCACATGAAACATTTCAGTATCAAAGAACTTGAGTGATACCAGACTTGGGAGTCCCACTGTTGCTCCAGCAGCTTGGAGGCTGGGGCAAGAGAATCACTGGAGCCTAGAGAATTGGAGATTAGCCTGGGTGACACAGTGAGACCTGCCCTCAAAGGAGGAGACAGAGGCAAGGCAGGCTTTTCTTCACCCCCTCTCCCTCTTGAGACCTTGCTGGTGTCGCGCAGGGTGACCCAGGCTCAGAACATGCTCCGGCTTTAGGCTCCTGAGTAGTTAGTTGGGCTGTAAGTCCTATGTAACATCAAAGTTTCCGTTTTGGCCACTTTTAAGCGGGCAGCTCAGTGCCATAAAAAGTACATTGGCATCACTGTGCAGCCATCACCCTGTGGGCGCACGCTCAGGAACTTGATCAGTTCCCTAGTGAAACTGCACTCAGTTAACAGTGGTCCCCATTCCCTCCTGCAGCCATGGTTTAGGGGGTTCATGTACATGGAGTCATACTGTATTGGTTCCTTTTGTCAAATTAGTTTATTTAGTGTAATATCTCAGGGCTCCTCCCCATGCTTCGGTCCTCACCATTGGCACATCCCATGAGACCTACCAGCCATGGAAACAGGCTGCCATCTATTTTCCTTTGTCTGGAAATGAACTGGGAGAAAAGGTGGTAGGATGTGGGGGTGGGATAGGGCCTTCAGGTGACCAGCGAGAGAACCACATAGTCGTCCCCTCACCTTCTGTTTCCTACCTACTACAGATTGACCGCTCTCTCCTTCTGTTTCCTACCCACCACAGATTGAAATTGCTCAGAAGCACCCTGACATCTATGCTGTTCCTATCAAAGCCCCAAAGCCTGATGCTGGTTTGCCCCCGCACATGAGGTAAGGGCTGCTCAGTGCAGGTAGGCCAGAGGAGGAGGCTTCTCCAGCATTGGGATTTGAAGGGTTTGCTCTACCCAGAGGGCAGAGCAATGGATTCCCTTCCCAGGCTGACTGCACCTTATCCTGTCAGTCAAACTTAACTATTAAGATTGCAGAGCCAAAAGGTGGACAGAGGCAGGCGGATCTCTGTGAATGCCAGGACAGCCAGGGCTATGTAGAATCAGAAGTTTCTGGTCACTTGCCTTGTGTGACCAATGCCTTCTGGCACATTGGAGCCTTACATGTTAGGAGGGCACATGAGCACAGTTTTTAGGGCTTAGGCTTCTCTTGTCACTAATGTTTACAAGCTTTTAGCCAAGCCCCTTAATTCCTTTGTATCACCATGCACAGTTGGGTCGCTTGTGCCAGACTAGGTCTGAAGGACTATGCTGGGCATTATTGTCATCCTGTGAAGATCTCAAATTGAGTTGTTTGCTGCTCCTGGAAGCTAGAGTCTTGTTTTAAAGCACTAAAAAACTGGACGCACGATGATTACTATTTGAATGCCAACCCACTTGACCAAGTTGACCCTGACAGACAAAACTTGGTATAATTGATTTGACACTGGCAGAGATCTCTCTACCGAGTGGGGTTGTAGTGGGGAGCAGAGTAGTGCAACAGGTATGGTCTTCCTATGTTAGTTCAGACAACATATACCTGCTCAACTAGGCCTTGGCCTTGACCTGTACCATATCTCTTCCCCTCTCAGCCTGTGAACCTGAAGAAGGACCAGCAGTGCCCTGGCTGGTGGTAGTAGAAAGTGCTCAGGGCTCAGGAAGTGATCAGCCTGCTGGGTTCATAGCTTCAGTAGCCTCGTGGGCAACCAGGCAATGCAGGCTTTTTGTAACACCCTCATTTTCTTAGCTCTAGACCTCCAGAGCCACAGAAATCTCCGTCCAGACTCTACCACGACACGAGCTATGGCAGTGATGCAGAGGAGGAGGAATACCGCCAACAGTTGGCAGCGCACTCAAAGCGTGGTTACTACAGCCAGCCTTCCCGGTACAGAGACACAGAATTGTAGATGGCTGTGTGTGGACTCCTGGGAGGCCAACCTGGAGATCTCCAGTTAAAGTGCACTGCAGAGATACTGTGGGGACCCAGGTGACAGACAGCACGAATTACCAACTGAAGTCTCTGTGTGTGGGACTGGGGTAAAGCTGAGTATGATTTTTTTTTTTCCACTCAGAATGAAGAGAAACACTACAGTCTGACACTGTTACTTGCTTTGGTGTGGACCAAAATCTGTATTAATCTCTCTGTATTTTTAATATGTATATTAAGGAACAATAACTATTTTTCCTCATTCATAGATGCCTTCCAACACTGCTTCAACATGAAGCAAATGTGAAAAATAAGTAAAAAGAATATATCTCAAACTAAATCCAGAAGTATTTTATTACAACTCTCTAAGTGCCTTTGAGAAGCTGTGTCTTAAGTTTTCTTCACTGAACCTTATGCAAAGCTATAATGGACTAAAACTGTATTTTGACTAAATTTTTTTTATACCAGGTTTGCAGCCGTAACTGCCCTCTGCATCATGCCATCTTTTCAGGGCATTGTCTTTATAGTATTTTCCATAAATTCTTACTGTACATAGGACAGTTACACTTGGTAGTTTGGTTGTCAGTGCTACATAGCTCAGAGGCTAAGAAGTTAGTCTAGAGTTTTTATTGTTGTTGTTGTTGTTTGTTTAAAACCATGTGCTCCACCAGCAGATACTTGAGAAAAGGGTATTTTATTTCCTTTATATCAGTGTATGTACTGACATCAAGCAGTTTTATAATTTAATAAAAAGGAGTACATTATAATGAGCTTTGTGGTGAATTTCTACACACCTTCCTTTTGGGGCAGTGTTGGGATGGAATTCAACGTCCTATTGAGTGTAGACGGAGTATACCCTGATCTTCTTGATTTATTTTAACTAAAATCTTTTAAAAGATCGTGTGTGAATGTTTTTCCTGTATGCACTACCTGTGTACCTGGTACCTACAGAGGCCAAAGAGGGCAACAGATCCTTCTAGAACTAAGTTAGGGGTGGTTGTGAGCCACTACAGGGATGCTGGGATTCAAACCTGGGTTCTTTGCCAGAACAAGTGGTCTAAACCACTGAGCCAACTGTCTAGTCCCTCTGTCCTGTGTTGAAGACCTTTACTTCAGTTGATCACACCAGTGAGAACTTGTTCATTCTTGAAAGTTGGGGAATAGAGACACATGAAGAATAAAGTAAGTTACCCCATCACAGCCCTGATCATTTTTGGGTGTTTCCTCCTGTAATTCATACTTGTCTGTTTCCTGTTTGTTGCTGGCTGTGCACTTCTGTCCCCTATTCTTTCTTCTTCATATTACATCAAGAATGGTCCCCTCACTCCACATGTCCATTGTGACTGACTGCAGACTAATCTTGCCCATGCTTTCTAAGAGAACACTCTCCTGCTGGCTGTTTCCATCATGTCCATTTCTCCCTCTATTACATTAGATGTTATCTAAGCCATACTTTGTGAGCCAGCCATCATCCACGAGCTCTCTCCTGAGGGTAGATGCTCAGAAGCGCTATTAGCAAGAGGAAGCAGTGGGGTATTTCTAGGGCTTATGTTTACTACTAAATTGCTTCCTAGAAAAGCCTATCTGTTTTCACATTCACTCTTGAAAGAATAACATAGGTGTAAAATAGAAATGCTGCAGGGTAGGAACCTAAGCTCGTATGAATCAAAGGTGCACAGAATTTGGGAGAAGAAGACTGAAGAGGACGGGCTCAGTTAAGTGTCCTTTATGTTGTGATAGACTTGTCAATGGTAAGCTTTAGTTTTGATGGAGTTAGAACTGGGGCTTAGTGAATTATGCTCTAAACATGTCCTTTTTTTGTGCTGTGACTCCAAGCCATTGATTGTTTCAGCTTGATTTTCTGAGCAGCCCTCAAGTTCTCAGCAGGCACTGACTAAAAGGCACTCTTTCTATTAATAAAAGCCACTGTCTGTGAACAGACGGAAATGTATACTGCTTAAATCCGGGATGACTTACTGTCCCTTCCTCCTTTAAATACAGGAACAAGAAGCCATCTGGGAAACCCATTTAGAGGAGGTAGGAGGCTTCCCTGTAGGCGCTGGCACAGGCTAGCATCAGATGCATTAAGTGATGAAGACAGGCAGTGTGTCTGGTCCCTGGAATGGCCATCGGTGCCCAGTGACCACCAGTCCTATTCATATACACCACTTCCTATTCATATCCTGCTTTGTTCTGGGGAGGACACAAAGCTCCCTACAGTTTGTTGGAGTTGTGAAAACAGTGGTGCTAGGCAGGTGAAGAAAGGGGAGGAGTACGTGAGACAGACTGGGGAAGTGAACTTTGAGTGAGGGTGGTGTTCACTCTGCTGTAGCTCTATGGGTCTCGGGCAGAGGGGTGGGTGAGGAATTTTCTCCATTGTTTTTATTCTGTGAGTTCCCAAATGGCCACAAGGATAGGAGAGACCCCCCCACTTCCTTTTTTTTTTTTGTTGTTGCCATTTTGTCCTTTGAGATTGATCTCACCATGCAGTCCAAGCTGTTCTAAAATGTCATACCTCCTGCCTCAGCCTCCTGAGTGTTCGGATTCTAGGTGTGTACCAACCACTATGGCTGGCTTGGGTGGTCTGTTTCTTACTATGTTCTTTTATGGGGGGCAGTAGCACAATTCTAAAAGACCTCTCAGAATTTCTTGGAGAAGGGACCGGCAATGTGTGAAGCAGCACTCTTATAGTCTGGCTCTATCCTGAGATCTCTGTCCTGACTTTGCATCTGTCTGGGATGCATGGCTGGGAAGGAAGATCTCTACTGGATAAATGATCCTAGGAGATAGGGGTTGCACTCTGAGAACAGATGTCTGAGAACAGAGGAGATGAGAGTGGAGAAGAGAGTAATTGTATTCTGGAAGAAAGTCGGTAAGAGCTGGCTCTGGCAGGCAATTCCTATAACCCTTTCTTAATTTATGTCAAGCTGTTCTTTCCTGCTTTAATTGCCTGCTGTCTGTATCCCTGCCATTCTAAACACTTCCATTAGAGACCACAAGAAGGGCAGAAGGGAGGGCTTTGCTAAAGGATCTGTGGGAAACACTTACACATTGCTCACCCCCATTAGCAGCTTGGGAAATAGGAATTACTGCAAGTTGGTTTGGTGGGTTTTAAATGGGAGATACTGGTTCAGAATGCTTTCCAGTGGGCAGCCAGTGTCTTTGAGTCCAAGTCAAGTGTGTGATTCTCTGAGCAAATCAACCTAAGGGTGTTTAAAAATAGCAGTGACCTGGGTATAGTGGTTGTGGTGGTTAGCGTTGTCAGTTTGACAGAATCTGCTGGGTGTGTTCCTGTGGGGGCTGATGGAGAGATGAGCTTCTGGGAGTTCTTGTGGGGGCTGTATTTTAATTTTGTAGGGATATCTGCCCACTGTGGGTGGTACCATTACCTGGATGGGATCCTGGACTTTATGGAGAAGGCCAGATGAGAGCTCACAAGATTTCTGTTTCCTGGTTGTGGGTGTCCAGAGGTCATGGAAGGAGAATGGGAGTTTGAATATAATCAAAATATGTTGTATACACACATGAAACTGGCAAGAATAAAGAAGTTTTAAAAACAAAGCAAAATAAAAACAGAATGTTGAGTCAGAATGTGGAAGTCACAAATCCAGTCTGACCCCAAGTTCAGACTACGGTGGTGTGAATAAGAATCGAACCCATAGGCTTAGGTTTGCATGTTTAGTCACCGGGAAGTGGTACTGATAGGAAGTGTGGCCTTGTTGGAGGAAGCGTGTCATTGGGGGTGGGCTCTGAGGTTTCAAAAGCCCAACCCAGGTCCAGTGGCTCTTCCCGTTTCCTGAGGATTCAGATGTAGACTTCTCAATGACTTTTCCAGCACCATGTCTTCCTGCATATGGCCATGCTCCCTACCATAATGAAAATGGACTAAACTCCAAATCTGTAAGCAAGCCCCAGTCAAATGCTCTCCTTTATAAGAGTTGCTGTGGCCATGGTGTCTCGTCACAGCAATAGAACGCTAAGACAGATCCCAAGTTTCTTCTCTTCTTGTGATCCCTGGCCTGCAGAGGCTGCTCAAGAGGCTATGGATCAGATTCTCAAGTCAAAGGGATTTATAGCCAGACCCCTGGTGTGTCAGTTGCGGTTTGAGCGAGTTACCCTAATGTTTGAGCCTTGCTTTTCTCATTTATGAAATTGGGGAAGAAACTATATAACACCGTGGCATGAGTCTTTATGGCCATGCCATTGCCCTCACTCACCACCCCTTCTTGCATCTGTGGCCTTTGTCACACCTCATTAGTTTCAGGAAAAGGGTCAGAATAAGTTCCCCAATCCTTAGTTTTTCCTATCTCATGTTTTTTGTTTTTTTTTTTTTTTTTTTTTTTTTTTTTTGGCTGTTACCTTCTTTTACTATCACAAATAGCTGAGGAAAAAGAGAAAGGAAGAAAGAAAAGAAAGATGTTTGAGCCCATAGTTTTGAAGGTTTCATTCTATGACCAGGAGACTCTGTTGCTCTCAGGCCAGTGGTAAAGCCTCACGTCATGCAGGGAACACAAAGGCAGAACAATGCTTCTGTCCTCAAGTTCAGGGAACAAGAGTGAGGTGGGGCCTGAGTTGCATAGTCTCCTTTGAGGTCATGATTCTTGTAATATGAAGACTCCCGACCAGGACCCGCCTCTTAAAGGAGCCACCAATTCCCAACAGTACCACCCCAGGGAACAAGAGTGAGGTGGGGCCTGAGTTGCATAGTCTCCTTTGAGGTCATGATTCTTGTAATATGAAGACATCCCATTAGGACCCGCCCCTTAAAGGAGCCACCAATTCCCAACAGTACCACCCTGGAGATCAAACCCCTTAACATTTGAGCCTTAAGGGAACTTCAAAGTCCAAACTATGGCACCCTATGACTTACTCTCTTGTCCCTCTGTTGTCAGCCCATGAATGGAACTGTCTCAGCTGATGAAATTACGGAAGAGACAGGTGAAGCAAAACTAGTCCAG